TAATTTTTGTTTTGAAGAAGAAACAAGATAATGAATGTCAGTAGAACTTACGACTTTGAGTATATGCGTTTTATTGATTATTTCCCATTCTTAGCTTAGCAATGGACATGTAATCTGCTTGCTCCCTGATTCATAATTTTTCTCTGTATATGTGTTCTATATCGATTGCCTCTTGATACGGATTTTATTATTTCTTAAGGAAACAGAAAAAAGAAGAAAATGTCTCGTGTGATGTTTTCTTCATTTCTACTTTTTCTTTACCCAATGATTTATTGATAATCGAAGAAGTACCATACCGTGCAGTCTTTACTGAGTCTGTTGATGATAGGCGCGAACTGCCTTTATGAGACAGATAGCATGTTCTAAGAATGCCTCTTATATAACTGTGTACAAGTGTCCCATGCCAAGATATAATTGATATTCACAGTATGGTTATTTTATTTTTGTTAAGAAAATGGTTATTTTATTTCCTTACCCAAGCTGCAAATGGTTGTGCCACTTTTTTCTCTTAGCATATCATGTTTCTTTGTGTGTTAACCATCACTAGTCACCGTTGATTTTGTTCCTCTAATTTTTTTTTTCTTCCTTTATTTTATTTCATATTCATTTTTTAAAAAGTTAACCTTTCTAATGGACAACATTGAAATGCAGGGTTCTGCTTCACCTGTTTGCACGTTGATTCTTCTTATCATCCATAATGATTGGTGTTCTAAGTGGCTGCTACATTGTGTGTTCTCAATGATTATGGAGATGTTCAGGGAATGATGTTCTTTTAATCCATTGAAGGAATGTGCTGCTACCCTGTAGTTTGATTTTAGTTTGGGACATTTAGTATAGCATGGACTAAGATGAAAGGGCATATTTTCATGTAAAAGAGGAGTTGGTTGGCTTGGACTTTCTTCTTACCAGACTTCTGTTGATTGACGTCTTGACTTTATTGGCTCATGAGTCATGATAACATATTCTTAAGTAGCTGTTTTCATGGTTACTGTTCCGAGAATTAAGGAATATTTATGTATTGTTCTTCTCAAATTTAATCGTAGGAAGTGAAATAGAATACTGCACATCTAGAAAATGGATGTGCTAGTTTCACCAAAAGGACAGAAGCAAACTCTACAGACCTCGTTCCGCAAGTCTTCTTCAATGAGTTCCCAGAAAGATCTGTGGCTTGTTGTTCGTGAAGGGTCCTTCACAGATGTGGATTCAGCATTGGCACTGCTGAAGAGGAATGGGGGAAACATCGATGCAAGAAACCCATTTGGTCTCACGCCTCTTCATATCGCAATCTGGAGAAATCATATTCCCATTGTAAGGCGGCTTCTTGCAGCTGGTGCTGATCCGGATGCTAGGGTATGTTGGTTATGTTCTTTATCTCACATTTGGGCATGGAATTTGGCCAAAAAAGGAAGAAGAGATGGATAATAGGGAATTTAACAAACTAAAGAAAGTCGAGGAACCAGTTAATTAATTGGTGCTTTCTTATCATGAATGTACATTTGCTCCCTGTCTCGTATTAAAGTAATGGGAAAAAAATCAATTTATGCCCTTAAACTATGCCGGTTGAATCAATTAAAACCCTAAACTAATGATTGAATCATGATTTTTGTTTGAAAATCGTTAATAAACAATTTTCACACATGGATAGACTTCTTTAAATGCAAAATTAATGAAATATTATATGGAAATATTGTAATCAAGTGGGTTGTAGTGGCTTTGATCAAAAGAAAAATAAGGAAGAAAAATGGAGGAAGAAGAGAAGATGAAAAATTGACCATATTGATGAAATAACTCTCTCTCACTTAATTCTAGCATTTTTCTCTAATATTTCGTTAATCTTGCATTTAAAGAAGTCTACACAGTGTGAAAATTGTCTATGAACTATTTATTAATGATTTTCAAATAGAAACCACAACAGAGAGTGTAAATTTATTCACTTATGAAAGTTACTTTCAGGGTTGTAATTGATACAATTGTTACTTAGGATTTTAATTGATCCAACTTGTATAGTTTACCGGTATAAATTTATTTTTTTTACCTAGAGTAATTCTTGTCAGAATTTGTCTAAAAAGGGGGAAAAGTGAACTTGTGTTGTTTAGTTTTGTCTTTTGGATTGAACTTTACTCTTCGAAACCATTAACACATCTAACTCTTAATTAGTGAAATATATAAATTCTTTTCTTGAAAATTTTAGGACGTGCTTTAATTTTTTTTTTTAACCTCCATTCTATATGATATGCATGCATGTATTGTGGTAGCTAGGTGGATTAGCTGCTTATATGGCCAGTAACGGTAAGTAGGGATATGATAGAGGAGTTGCTCAGTAACCCTCCTTTTCATTATAGGGATTGGGCCTTTGACCGGTGACATTCTTTGCTATCTGATAGAATTTATGGCATGAAGGAAATATGAGAAATTTTAAAGACGTTGAGAGGTCTTGGAGAGGTTTGAAGCAAGGTTTATTTCAATGGCTTGCTTTGGATGTTCTTGTCAGAAGWTTTTGTAATGACCCTTTATTTGTTTGATTCTCGAAACCGGAACAACTTCTTATTATTATTTTTTTACTTTGCTCCTTGTTTGGGTCGTCTTTTCTACTAGCCTCCTTTTAATTCTTTCTTTTGTTCGAGTGAATGCTTGTATCTTATCCCTCGCAAAAATTCTTGCGCTACTTCTTTCTATCAAGGACGGGCGAGTACCCTTGAAAGGGCTTTGTAAAGGATATTAGAGAGTGTGTCCTTAGGGCACTTTAACAAGATCAGATATTGTCATGCAAGTTCCCTTAGGGTGCTCCTTCAACCATAGTAGCATATTTGGTATGAGCCTATCGTTGGGTTTTTTTGATAAACATCAGGTCCTCATAATTTTCCTTGTCTTGGTTGGTGATAGTTTATCACGTTTCAAGTTCCAATAGTCTTTGCCCAAGAAGATGAACCAATCTTGTTTGATGGATGCAAGAATTGGTTCAATGTCATTTCACCTTTCTTTTTGTATCCATATCATATATTTGATAGTGGGCTGTTCCACGTGGTTGAGAGAGGTCTTCAGAGGTGGTTTGGAAGCTTCTCTTTTATTCCTCTCTTGAACTTACCGTAAAACTTTTTGGGAAGGTTTTTCTAGGTTCCTGTAATCATGTTAGCCCCTCCAAATTGTGTTGTGTTATGTTTGATGAGATCTCAATTCACACTCATCCCTCTGGAAGAAAGTTCGATTATGTTTTGCAGCATACTTGACTTGAGAGAAAGGGGCGTTTTAGTGGGAGGAGAAGGCATGAGAGGATCTTTGGTTTGATGATTACTTCACCTTTTCCTTTGGTCCTACGGCTGTAAGTTAGCCTTTTTTCTTCCTCTCTCTCTCTCTCTCTCTTTTTTTTTTTTCTGCTTTTTCTTTTTTGGTTGTCAACAACTGAAGTTTCTTTTTTCAAAGTTCTACTCATTTTTGTTGCCCTGTTTTTTTTTTTGTTGTAAATTTTGCGTCCTTTCTCTTCTTGCCTTTATTTTTATATAAGGCGGGAGTAATTATAGAATGAGAGTGAAAGGGAACACCAAGGACACCATTGAGATTTAACTAAATCTGAACTTCTTCCATATCCTAGATTCAAACCCCCTGATGTTCCTATCTATCCAAAGTCCCTGCGGCAATGCCTGCAGTACTTCACATTTTATTAAAGCCAATTGGAATTTTCTGTAAGACTACAACATGTTTTGCGGCGGCAATGAGGAGAAATCAAAGTATATTTTTAATGTTCTTAACATTTTGAGTTAGCATCAGCCCTAAGGATGAACCCTTCCTAAGACAGCTCTTTTCTTTTCTTTTCTTTTATTATTTATTATTTTTTAAATGGATTTTACCAGGGAGGATCACTGGGAATTTGGCTATTAGGAATCTTGCTGTCCTGGCGAGTGGTTATAATCTTGTGTGTGGTTCCTTTGTCAGTTGAAGATTTAAACCCCAACTTATACCAAGTTGTTGCCTAAGAAGAAGCACAGAATCATATGCTCAAATATCTTTTGCCCGCTCGTGTGTAGTTTGAATTCAGTGGAATAGAAAGGTTTTTTTTAAGGATATAGGTTGGAATTTGTTGAGGTGTGAGATAGTATATATCTCTTTGAGTTTTCCAACACCGAAATAGTTTGACATTATCCTGTTGCATTTTTTATTAATTGGTTGGAGAGTCGTTTTACGGTTCATAAGTTGGGTATGGTCTACTGCTTTCACTTTCTTTGCATTTTTTCTCTCACTATATTGTTATTTCTTGTGGAAGTATTTTTGAAGCTCACCTCTTTTGATTTTCCTTATTTTAATTTCGCAATTTCATTAGTTGACAGATGACATCGATAATTTGTTTCAGGATGGTGAATCTGGATGGAGCAGTCTTCACAGAGCTCTACATTTTGGTCATCTTGCAGTGGCGAGTATCCTTCTCCAGTGTGGTGCCTCTATTACGTTGGAGGACTCCAAGTGCAGAACACCAGTTGACCTCCTCTCTGGACCTGTATTGCAGGTTGTGGGAGGTGAACCTAGCTCAGGTACCTTTTCTGCCTTCTATGATATGTACTTGATAACACTGATCGTTAGACTCATCACATTCATTTTCATTTCTCAGTTGCCACAGAGTTGTTTAGCTGGGGTAGTGGCACAAACTACCAACTTGGAACTGGCAATGAGCACATCCAAAAGCTTCCATGTAAAATAGATTCTCTTCATGGTTCTTTTATCAAGTTGGTTTCTGCGTCGAAGTTTCATAGTGTAGCTGTGAGTGCTCGTGGAGAAGTTTATACCTGGGGATTTGGAAGGGGAGGCCGGCTTGGGCACCCAGACTTTGATATTCACAGGTTTGAGTTCTCCTTTAACACATACCTGTGATTCAATCATTCAGTTACATTTGTATGCTTGTGTTAAATTGTATAATATAAAGTGGTCAGCAGTGGATTCTTTTTCCATTGACAGTTCAATGATCCTGGACTTAAAGAGACTATGGCAGTCAATCCCACTTTAAATGGGAGATGCTGATGTGCTTTTGTCATTGTTACAATTGGCTAAATGTTCTTTTCCAGCCTTAATTTTTCCCTCATATTTTCATTAGATACATTTGACTTCATTCATAACAGTGGTCAAGCCGCAGTTATCACCCCCCGCCAGGTGATTTGTGGATTGGGTTCCCGCCGTGTGAGAGCAATTGCTGCTGCCAAACATCACACGGTTATTGCCACTGAGGGTGGTGAAGTATTCACCTGGGGATCTAATAGAGGTATTATATTCTGGATGCTGTGGAGCCAATACATATACAAAGTTATAAGGCAATTATATGTTAAAAATATTGGATGGTGACCAGAGCTAATTATTCATTGAGGTCTATGAAGCAAAAGAAACATTGGAGCACATTGCTTTTAGCTTTCCGTGTCCATTTTACTATTAAATAGGAACTGAGAGTTTCCTTATTATGATGTAGAGGGTCAGCTTGGTTACGCTTCTGTTGATACCCAACCCACACCTCACAGAGTTAGTTCTCTGAGGTCTAGAATTATTGACGTTGCTGCAGCAAACAAACACACTGCTGTGGTCTCTGAGTCTGGTGAAGTTTTTACGTGGGGCTCCAATAGGGAAGGCCAACTCGGTTATGGCACCTCCAACTCAGCTTCTAATTACACTCCTAGAGTGGTTGAATACTTGAAGGGGAAGGTCTTCGTACGAGTTGCTGCAGCCAAATTTCACACAATATGTTTAGGGGTTGATGGAGAGGTAATTTTTTAGTATTGTTGAGCTTGTAATTTTTGATACTAAATAATTTTAATTAGAGACCCAGCCAATTATGCTATGTTATAATGTCATTTTGTGACAGTAGATAAATTATATATATATTTTAGCTCTAGTTAGAGAGAGAAGTCTACATTGTTGCAGGTTTACACTTGGGGCCATAGGCTTGTTACTCCTAGGCGTGTTGTAATTGCCAGAAATCTGAAGAAAAGTGGGAACACCCCATTAAAGTTTCATAGAGGGAAACGGCTTCATGTGGTTAACATTGCTGCCGGGATGGTTCATAGCATGGCTCTCACTGATGATGGTGCAGTATTCTACTGGGTTTCCTCAGATGCTGATCTTAGATGCCAACAGGTTTAATCTCTTGGTTTCATTTATTTTCTTGCAAACAATTTGTTAGTTACTTATTAAGGTGTAACCTCTGTTTTCTATTTCATGTAGTTATATTCACTTTGTGGAAGAGATGTTGTCAGCATTTCGGCAGGAAAGTACTGGATTGCTGCAGTTACATCTATCGGTGACGTATTCATGTGGGATGCAAAGAATGGCAAGGATAAGCTCCCTGTTGCAACACGTTTGTATGGGATAAAGAGGGCTACATCGGTGTCAGTTGGTGAAACACATTTATTGATTGTTGGTTCTGTATTTCATCCTGTATATCTTTACAATGTGAACAATATTTCAAAGAGCCACATCTTCAATGGCATGAATGAACTAGATGAGCTTAATGAAGATTTGATATTTAATGATATTGACTCTACTACTGAGTCGTCTACCTCCCCGAAGGTTGCTACTGAACTGCGTTGTGTACCTAGCCTAAAAAGTCTATGTGAAAAAGTTGCTGCAGAGTGTTTAGTGGAACCACGAAATGCTATCCAACTACTTGAAATTGCAGACTCACTCGAGGCTGATCATTTAAGAAAGCACTGTGAGGTATGCAATATGAAAATTATTGGATATTGAAAATTATTTTTATTTGGAACACGTGTGCTTCACTTCTAGATGATATGAAAACAATTAGTTATTGAAAAAGTATATTTATTTGAAATACTTCTGCTTCACTTCTAGATGGCTGCTTCATGAATCTTAGTTTGATTAAAATTTTGGGGACGTGATTGATGATACCATGTGTTATCTCAAATATACTCTTCTTTACTCATATATAGAGCTCCCCCTCAACACATGCCTCCATCCCTCAACCCCCACATGTATACACACACACATATATCTTTTCCCACCACCCTACTCCAATATGAAAACAATTGGATATTGAAAACTTAGTTTTATTTGGAATACTTCTGCTTCACTTTAGATGGCTGGTTCATAAACCTTCGTTTGATCACGATTTCGGGGACATGATATCAGTGTTATCTCAAACACACGCTTTTGTACCTCTTTCTGCCAGTTAGAGAGTTGCATGTGGTATTCTTATTCACTACAAAGTTTTGTTCTAAAAGAACACACATATTTCGTGGTCATTTGATTTAGTAATAGTTTAATAGTAATTCTGGTTGTCTTGTTCATTTCAAAATCCATATATTGTCTTTTCCACAGTATCATCTTAAGGTTACTTTGGGACGTTTTGATTGTTGCTGAAGGCGCTCTGTGTTTATCAATTGACTATTGTGTATACAGCTATCCTATGCTTTTATATGGATTGGATAGTATATTGGTATTCTAGACAAGTTGTCGTCTGGGCTACATGGTTGTGACTTGTGAGCACAACTTGTTGGATATAGCTCAATCACTTTATTTGGATGTATTGCTAACTTTAATACTATTGCTTATTTTTCATTGGTTTTATTTTTTATTGTCCAGTTTGAGTAGCAAAATGTGACAAACTTTTAATTTGGGTTACATTCCTGATTCCTGTTGATGTAGTCTTTGGTATGGCGACTAATATTTCATTTGCCACACGATTTCAGGAGATAGCTATTCGGAACCTTGATTATATTTTAACAGTGGCATCACAAGCTATTGCGAATGCTTCACCAGATATTATGGCTAAGCTTGAGAAGTTGTTGGACTTAAGGTCATGTGAGCCATGGAGCTACCGTCGACTCCCTACCCCAACCGCTACTTTGCCTGTCATTATTAACAGTGAAGAGGAGGATAGTGAAACTGAGATTTTAAGGTCTCGTGATAATCATATGATGAATAGCATGAAAAATGAAATGGAGCAAAGATCAGACTCTTTTTTCCACAAAGATAACCAGAATGAAGCCATCTCCAAACAAATTCGTGCTTTACGGAAAAAGTTGCAGCAAATAGAAATGCTTGAATTGAAACAGTCGTGTGGATATCTCCTCGACGAACAGCAAATTGCAAAGCTCCAAACAAAGGCTGCCCTTGAAAGTTCACTTCTGGAACTTGGTATTCCAGTGGATACCCTGCAGGCTAAACCATCTTTAGTATCTTCAGATGAAAAAGGAACTAAGAACACTGTGCTACCCAAAAAACATAGGAGGAGGAGCAAATGCAAATTAGAACCTTTGGAAACTTCGGCTGGTATTACCAAATCTGATGTAGAACCGGATCGTATGGAAGAGTTCCATGATGTTGAAATTCCTTCAGTTGCCAAGAATAAGGTTAGGCTTGAATTTTTCTTTGTTTTTCTTTTTGGAGGATTGAATTTCTGCTGCAGAGTTGTCTTTAAGAATTTTGCTGCATGGACTGATCCCCACGTTTTCTTTGTTAGCAATTCAAGGTCGTGTACTGCTTCTGTTTTCAATTACAATTTTCTGATTTTTGTTTAGGAACTATGTTTAAGAACTGTTATGGGACGGATGACTTGTGAAGGTCGTTGTAAAGGTTGATGTAAGAAAGAATTACTTCAATGGTTTTTAAATAGGCCATCTGAGAGAATTAAATAATGAAAACAACTACAAGTAACTTTTTGAAAACAATTACTAGAATGTCTTAACTGATCTTTTGTTCCAAAAAAACAGGGAACACATCTTGTAAACTACTCCCAAACAACCATTTAATTGTTATATGGTGCTTGGGAAGCTTTTATTTGTCCTTAGTTTATGAGTCTTTTGTATGTTTCTTTTCGTATTTTGATTCTTTCGCTCCTTTTAGAATCTTTGAATATTTCTGATTTTTTTTATTTATCAATGAAAATCTCGTTTCTTGTTAAAAAAAAAACCATTTAATTCAATGTTGACCTATTTTTGAATGTGGTCTTCCATTCCTCTTTACCTGGTGTAACGTTGTTGAGTCTTACCTTGTTCCCTTTCGGATTTCCACTGCATTGTGTTTACTTGATTACGACTTTCATTGTTTTCTGTTTTAGTTAAAGTTGATTGATTATGTTTGACAGGGGGACAACACCATTTTTGAAGAAACAATCAACAATAGTACTCTTGAGTCGTCCACTTGTATTTCAAAGAAAATAGATTCAAGCTTGTTAAAAGATACAGACTTGAAGAATAAAAATTCATCTCCAACAGCTACGAAGAAGAAGAAGAATAAGAAGGGTGGGCTTTCACTGTTCTTGAGTGGTGCTCTTGATGATACACCCAAAGATGTACCTGCACCATCACCAGCGGCTAAAATAGAAGGTCCTGCCTGGGGTGGGGCAAAGGTTGCCAAAGGATCCACAACACTACGGGAAATTCAGGACGAGCAGCGTAAAACCTTGGGCAGGAAAATGAATGAGAGTAAGGATCAGGCTGATCTTGTTGATTGTAGAAGTGAGGGGAAAATCCGATTAGTGTCATTTTTGTCTTCCAAGCCAATACCTGTAGTCCCAACTCAAACTTTTCAAGTTTCTGATGGGGAAAGAAACACGCCTCCTTGGACTGCATCTGGAACTCCGCCCCCTTCTCGGCCATCTCTTAGGGACATCCAGATGCAGCAGGTATGCCAAATTTTCACCTCTCTGCTCAAATGGATTGGTCCAAAACCAAGGCAATTTTTTATTCATGCTTGAAACTAATACTGCGATTTATTTTTCTTCACAGAAAGGAAAACAACAGGTACTATCAAACAGTCCAAAGATGAGAACAGCTGGCTTTTCTATTGCTTCTGGTCAGGGCTCTCCATCAGATTCCAGCGGCGGAGTAAATCGTTGGTTCAAACCAGAAGTTGACACACCATCTTCAATTCGTTCAATTCAAATAGAGGAGAAGGCCATAAAGGACCTGAAGCGTTTCTACAGCAATGTTAAGATTGTGAAGAACCCATCTTGAAATTGCTATTTAGATTGGGTTAGTCAGGTAGCAATTTAGGTTCTTGGTTCTCCCTTTCAATTCACTGCTGTAAATGTAACTGTACAAATGAGCTCACTGTACATCCTTAGTCCTAACTCAACTCCCTTTGATTCTAAAGTAGTTGACAATGTGGATCCTTGTCCTGATGGCGTAATTTGCAGTCATCATGGAGTCGCCCCATGAATTTGGATTCAGTCAATTGAAATAAAAGGGGGAAACAGAAACAGTATTCATGGGATTCATTTTGTTCTTTAACTAAAAAAGAATAATGGGAAGGAATACTGTAGCATACTTTGTATTATTATCATTTTTTTTTTCTGTTCTCAATTATTCCTTCAGCCATTTAGAACATTTTGTATGAAATTGTGAGCTCCTTGGGATCTTTATCATCTTCTGGTTGTAAATCATCGTCCGTCCAAACAACAGGTATCTATTATTACTCTGCTTGAGGGATTCTGTAGCATCCTCTCTCTCTCTCTGTTTGGCTTGGGGAAATATGATGAAAACTATCTGATTCTGAACTGAATCTTTTTAGCTGCTTGTAATTAATCATGAACCCATGTTTGTTGATGCCTTTTCACAGGGGAGCCTATCGTAGATGCATGTCCACGGAGACTCAGACCCGTGTGGGTGGATCCCACATGAGAACTGCATTTGTGACCATCGATCTTCCAACGGGCGATGGTTATTTGTCGGATCAAACAGATGACAAGACAGGTGAGTGGTCAAAAGTGATAGCTTGATTAGGCTTAGCTCATTGATCTTTCCTCTTGTTTCTCTTTTCTGCAAACTCTGCATGGAAATGCACTGAGATGGAAACAGGGGTTGTGTGCTTGAAAGAGAGAGAATGCGAAAAGAAATGAAGAGAAAAAAAGAGAAAAAAGAGGCAAAAGAAAAGCAAGAAAAAGAAAAAGAAAGATGAGGGGAACGTTGTGGCTGTGGAGCCAATGTATAGGGGAAAAGTTCTAAAAGTTCGTGATTTATGAAAAAGAAAGATAAAATCCTCTTTTCCTTGGGGTTATGGTCAGGAATTGAATGATCTCGTCGGCTATATGGGACTTGAATAAGAATGAGACAAACCAAAATGGAATGGTTGAGAATGAAAGAGATGCTTTTTTAGAGAGCGAGTGAATAGAATAGATGGGTTCTTTTTTCTCGAGGTAAATAGAAGAGATGCATTTAATAATCATCATGGGATGACCTAGTGGTCAATAAGGGCCAATGTTAATAGGAAAGAGCTCAAATACTACGTAGGATTTAATATATTACGAATTTCCTTATCAACCAAATAGAGTAGGGTCAGACGGTTAGCCTGTGATTAGTTGAGCTGTGTGCAAGCTGGTCCAGTCAAATGCGGTAGCTAGCATCAAAGAGAGCCATCATAGACGAGAAAGTGGGAGTTTGAACTTGGCGCCCTGAATCAGGGTCTTAGCTACTTGCTTTCGAACGATCTTGAAGAGATAGGGGGATTGGCCCCAATTCGACTGCTGTTAGATTGCTCATCAAATGATGGGTATAGCCCGAGTGTAAATGTAAAAGAACCATTGAGAATGACGTTTGGAAGATGAAGCCTTGCCCGATTTTAGTGATGTCGTCTTTGTTAAGGAAATGTTCCGATCAATGCGCCATCTCCCTGGATCAGGACTCGGCCGGTGTCACCAAGAAATCATGGAGCCAATTCATCTCCAGGCGATTGAGCCACCTTTTGGGTTGCCCTCGATTGTTCCAGAGAAAAGGATCATGGCACACAGATATATAAAAAGAAAAGAAAAGAATAGAGGCATTTAGTAATGGAGAAAAGGGAAGAAAAATTAGGCAAGACTACACAAGTTAGTAGGAATTCCTTTTTACGGGAGAGATTGTCGAGCGATTGTCGAGCGAGTATAACTTCTAGTGGATAAAATAATTATTATCATCACATGTTATACTTCTAGTGGACAAAATACTTATTATCATCACATGTTATATGGTTGGATTTTGACCCCAAGTGTTACACTAAAAAAGTAAATGGATTACGCCGTATCATATTTATCTTCAATTGGATTGTCTTGGTACTTTGTAAATTTCCCAAGTTTCATTATGAAATTTTTTTTAAAATTTTTTTTTATAGTATAAGGGAAGAGGATTCGAATTCACAACCTCTTGGTTGGAGGTATATGCCAATTACCGTTGAGCTATGCTCCCTTTGACGTTTCATTATGAAGTTGGAGAATGGTAAAATATCTTTGTAATGTCTCTCAAACTTGTTTCATCTTCAAAAATTGCTCAAAGAACTTCTCTTCTTTAATTTTCTTTGCTCTGAGGTGCTTATAACCTGCACTCTCCTAGATGCCTCATGGTTTCCCACAAATGCTAAGAATGTTGTTGAATGCTACAAGTTGGATTGTGAATCATTTGTGTCTTGACACTCCTTTTTGGAGTTCTGGGGTTCTTTCTCTTTTACACTCGTTCCTATGGTATCCAAACGTTATCGTTCACGGCTTTGATCAAATTTTAGTTACATATTGAACAAGTTCAATGATTAGACACACAATCATAATTATATATATATTTGATAGTCCCAAGGGGCTGCCTAAGCTAGCAAGAGATCTCTTGGTCATATTTGTTTAGAGGTCTCAAGTTTGAACTTCTAGTGAGCTTATATAAAAAATCCTTGACGTCTCTTGGGTCTGTACCTTGGGGTAGGCGTGGGTGCCTTTGAGTAAGAGGAGTAAAGTTCCGACACTCAGTTATCAAAAAAGAAAAAAAAATTATATACATATTTGATTTAACTACTACTTTTTATTAATTGGTTTTGCATCTAAATTGAGAGAGGAAAAATAGCAAGGAGTTTCACTAAGAAAAACAAGTTAAACTTACTTTCCTCTAAATTAAAAATTAAATCTATTTCTTTAAAAGTGAAATAAATATCTTATGATCTGATCCGATGATTATTCTCGAAACTATTCTCTCTACAACTTTGCCTCCATGAAAAGCATATAATTTCTTTTTTGAGTAATTTTTGGTCCAAAATGTGACCACATATAGACTTTCAATTGTATAATAATGGAAGATTCAGTATTGTGGTTGTGGTAGTGGAGGCCCATGTCCCCCCTTCCCTTTTTCCAATCCCTAAACTTGTCCTCTTGCCCATTTTCTCCCCCTTTTTATCTTTCCTGATTTCAGTGCTTAATTATTTTTAGAGAAGGACGGATAAGCCATTGGTTCTATAAAAAAAAAAAAACAAGAAAGAAAGCATGCACTAGAAATTGAATAGGGGCAGTTTGCACTAGGATTCTCTCGTCCGTACCAATTCTGAGCTAGAGTTAGCTGTTTGATGYTCGGAGATGGTTCTTGAGGGAGTTGTTTCTAGTTCGTCCTCTGGCTGGTACGCGTGCGCCTCATGCTTAGCCAAACTTTCTATCTGACAATGTCTTCCATCGGCCCGCTAGAAGTTAGAAAAAGTATTCTCCCACTCAATTTCCATTAATCCGGTCTACCATTGAGCTACCATTATATATATATATATATATATATATATATATATATATATATATATATATATATATATATATGTAAAATTCTGAGTTAGTGTTAGCTGTTTGATGCTCGGAGATGGCTCTTGAGAGAGCTGTTTCTAGTTCGTCCTCTAGCTGGCACGCGTGCGCCTCATGCTTAGCCAAACTTTTCATCTAACAATGTCTTCCATCAGCACGCTAGAAGCTAGAAAAAGTTATTACCTCCCACTCAATTTTCATTAATCTTGGCTAACATTGAGCTATCATTAGTTTTTGATATATATATAATTTAAATATAATTTTAGTTTATTAAAAGTATTGACCTTCCATCCTGGCTTTGAGACCTGAGCTTCCATTGTCCTAAGGGAAACTTCCGAGGGAATARCTACCAGATACTTAATTAYAATTTGACCTAACAAGCTAAAATATTTACAAATATGATACAATTTTCGAAAAACTCATTAACATTTAAAGCATCTCGCTTTGATCATTCGATTATCTACTAATGTAGAAGGACTGCTACAAAAGTTAGAAGTAATCTAATTCAATCAAAGCTAAGGGGATCTTACTTTCTTGACGCTGAGTTAGTTGGGCTTTGACTATGCGCACCATTTTGAACCTTTTTCTCATGTTGCTAGCAACTACATATCAGGAAAGGAAGTTGACTTTATTGACCTAAATTGAAGCATGCTCCTTTACAACTATCTTACACCAAACATGATTCTGAGAACCAGGATAGAGCATAACTTACTTATTCCTTGAACGAGCTCCAAACTAATTGCTTCCAATATTATAGGGCTTCCATTCTAATAGACGTACAATAGTCTCTATTAGTAAGACATTTCTAGACATATATGATAGACCTTATCAGTCGTAGACACATTGATAGATGTCCACTCAACAAAATTGTCATATTTGTAAAATCTTATTCTTAGGGTTCTTCGAACAACGTGATATCTCAAATCTAATAAATTCTTAATCCTTCTTCCTTTCATTAAGACTACAGAATGTTCGGTAGATTATAGACTATATATTTGGAAATATGATAAARTTATTTGGACCAATACAATTCACTAAATAATGKTACCACATGGCATATAAAAAGGTTTAGAAGAAGACAAGGTGATGACTCCAAAAACCACCAAAACTCCTTTTTCCATTATTATTCTTTTTTGCTTTCTATGACCTGTCTGTCATCATGTGTTTTCCCACCATGAAATAATGTATCAATCTTCTTCCCCTTTTTCCATTCCTGCCCTCATCTCTCTCTCACTCTCAATCAAATTTCTTCTTTCAAAGCTCAATTTTGAGGAGATGGGGAAGACATTTTAAGAACACCAATTTGTCCCTATCTCCCCTCTTCTTGACAGGGTATGAAAATTTGAGAGAGATTTGGAAAAGGGGTGTTTGGAATGGAGTTTGTTCCGAAATCTTTTTTTCTTCCAAGTTTTTAGTCTATTTTGTTTTCTTTTGAAACTCCTTACCTTATCAATCGTTAGCCTAAGTTTTTGRTTTAATTTCGTGTATTGAGAGGGTCGAGAGAAGAAGAATGAGAAATAAGTAGTTGAGATATCCCGCCGGGGTTGAGGGATGAAAACTGACATGTCAATTGTCTTTGTCATCTTTTCTTTGCAAAGTTTTTTTCTTCTTCTTCAATTTGAAGATTTTTGTTGTTTTCAATTGAAAGTTGCCTTCTTTTTACCTTCTTTGTCTTTGAGAAGTTTGTTCGAATGGAAAAAATGATCTCGGACCAGGCTTCATTCCTCGCATGCAGCTTTTCCTTGAAGAATTTTGGGTATGACAAATATTTTCACGTATATATAAGAGAAGAACTCYGATTAACTTCTGGTAAGCTTTCTCTTTGAATCTCTCATCCAATCATGCACAATAGGTATATAGTTGCGATCAACCTATGTTTTTTCATAATTTACATTGTATTCATGTGAATGCAATATTTGGTAAGATGCATATTAATTTAAAGAAAGGTAGTTTTTTATTAGGAATATTGTTAAATAATTTTGAGTACTTGACCATGTAGATTGAATGATTCAATAGTTTTTCATTTCAGTGATTCTACATCTTGAGATATGTCGAGAAGTCACGTCATCTGTCTAATCAATCTAAAAATACAATTCAAGATTCAAAATATTTCTCAAAACAATAATATCTATTAAAAAAGAATATTATGAACAATAATATTAAGAGAGAAAAATCTATGACATAATGTTGTGAGATTGTAGGGTTATATATGTAATGAATTCACCATACAATTTTAGACTAAAGAATTATTTTGTTTAAATAGCTTAATTTTTTATTTGCAAGAATAGCAATCCTTACCGTTAAAGAAATGAATGGTTTTTAATTATCAATATGCGACCTATCGAATTGTATGAAAATTATTTTTAGCTAGTTAGTTTGTTAATGTATGTATTTAGTAAATAATGAAAATGTGAAAAAGATGATTCTGATTCCTCCATGCTTCATCTATCACTTTATAATTGGTTAGTTCATATTATATGTTTGTTAAAAATTCCTTACTTCGAGTTTGACCCACTAACTTAATTAAACCTGTAGTTTGACGATAAGAAAGTTTAATAAATGATTTTAGATGATGTGATTTGAAATTAGTGAAATATTTACAATTCTTTGTCTTATTTGAAACATAGTGATTTGAAAGGAGTTAAATTGAATATCTTTGTTTTGATGTCTGCTGGAAAGGAGAATTTTTTGTTGTATTTTTTACTGATATAGGATTTTAGTCTAAATTTATTAATTAGAAATTAAAATATCACAAATTAAAATCCGACTAGTTTGATTCGAAATTTAATTTATGTAAAAATAGGATTTGAAATCTGACATTCGAAATCATGAAGTTACTAAACAAAAGAATTTATTTGGAATCCGTCATAACTTTTCATGGCCTCTATCTCATGATGAATAAACATTATTGGATTTATGTCGAAAAAAATACTTAGGTACTGAGTGGTAGCACCCCATGACTAGAATAAAAATTTGACAAATTTTTAATTTTTTTGAAAAATAGGAAAAATATTTAGTTTTCTAMATTTTTCTCTTGCTTATCAAAGATTTAATGGTGGATAGTAATAAAAAATGAATGCTGATCGGTAAACATCTAAATATTGTTATTTCTACATAGAATTTCAAAGCAAGAGAAAATTCCTTATGAATTTTTCAATTGAAACCCAATATAGGGTCGTTTTACCGAAGACTTTTCCCGAATAACTACTTCCACTTTCATTTTTTCCCTAATACGATTCCCGGGTGGATGTCCACATGTACAGAACATAAAATCTGCATATTTGGCAGTTTATTTACAACACATCAACCGTGCCACAGTGTGCCTATTTATCTCAATGGGACGAACACTTTTGAACYAATTAAGATCGACATTTTTTAAATTCAAGGACCAAAATTAAACAAACTAAACTCAAGATTTAAGGACCAAAATAAGATTTCAACCTAATTTTCTTCGTGCCGTCTCTCTGAAAAGAACTTTTCAAAATTTAGCCCAATTTTAAGAGAGAAAGGATTCGTGAATGCTAATTTTTTTTACTTTAAAATTTTAGCTAGGTTTTTACAACTTTATTAAGACTAGAATATAGAAAAAGGGGAAAATTTTTAGTAAACGAGTACATTAAAAAAAAAACAAAATTGTTACGGTTATAAATGAAATTCGCTAAACGTACTATGGATCTAATCTCTCTTTAAGATTGTATTATTTCCTTTTGATTCTTAATCTATCTATTGATGAAATTAAATTCGAGTATCTCTCTTATTCGATTCTTCTTGATATTCCCTGGCTACTTATTCTCAAAAATCATGATAAAGGGGTGGTTAACCTTCATGATTGAGGATTTCTAGTTAACGAATATGAAAAAGATTAGATATAGATCGATCAATCAAGATAGTGTTTTATAGGGTGAATTGGAAGACAAATTATTATCATAATAATCAAAGAGTATACTCTTATTAAGATTTTATTTCTATCTCCTTGATATCACCAAATTCTCTCTTTTCCTCTCTCTTATGCTCTCCAAACTTCTCTCTAAAATCTCTCCCCACTCACAAACCATCATAGATACAGCTTCCTCTTCTTCTTCTTCTCCGAGCAAACAAAAATCAGAAGATGATTTTTCAAAAGTTTTAGCCGAGCATAATTCAGCCGAAGCTCATCTAGCCAAGGTTGAAGATATCTCAAAAATTGGTCTATCCCTAAGATAGATCCAAATCAAGTATATAAAATAAATACCTTCAATTTCTCCMAACATATTTCTCCCAACAAGATGTTATCGTCATCACAGAGGAGAACGTTGCAATGAAGGATGAATTCACCGAGATCACTCCTCTCCCTGAAGAAACCCTCTTCAAAGTCAAGAGCAAATTCAAGTACCTCCATATAGGATGTGTTCAAGTTGCTCTGRAACCTCTCTTYAGAGAAGGCTTAGATGTCCCAGTTTATCTCGTCCTAAGAGATAAGAGGCATCTCAAATTTACTCCCTCTTTGCTAGGGATCGTTGAATCTAACCTGGTGCAAGGCCCGGTATACTTCAATTGCAAAACCCGGTCTTACCGTTTCTCTTCAAGATAAGAACATCATGGACGTCCTTTGTCTAGATGTTCATTCTGAAGGGCTGRAGCTAAAAGAAGGTTTTCTCCCGTTTGCTGTTTCTTATCGCATCTATTACAAATTAATGCATACAAACCTTTCTCCAAAATCACTTGGCGTATCTCCAAAAGGTTACACCATGYTGATGGAAGTCAATATCAAAAAATCTTCAATGACCATTCCAAAGACACTTCACTAGGATGAGATTTCCAGAAACACTATCTGGAAACTATAAGGAGTAACAGCCCCCGCTAGAAGAACTAGCACAGAGACATCAATCACCGAATTTCCAGATGGAAACGTCGAAATACAATTCAATTCTGGGGTAAATTCAATTCTGAGGTAAGATACCCAAGAATTAGAGAAGTCATGAGTAGCCGCCCAAGCGTATCTTCAGATACAAGGTCGGTAAACTCTATTAATAGATCTTTTAAAACTCTATTAATTCCCGCCCTTTCGGCCCTACAACGAAAAACAGGCGTCCTGCTTCAGCGGYCGYTCCTTCAAGATCTACTATTCCGAGGAATCCTTTCTCGTTTTCTCAAATCGTCAGGCCAAAGGTTTTTCAGCCAAGGCCCCCAATCAATGGATATTTCACCAAAACTACAATGGTGGATTCAACTATCGAACCAGAATTCGACTGACCTTCGGTCCAAGAAGTCTACAAACAAATATTTCCTCACGGCTTTAACTTCTTGCCAGAGGATCTTCAAAAGACTCGCACCTTTTATGAGTTTATTCTCGAACCAAAATTTACGCTTTGAAATTGCCACTGGGTTATATCTAATCTTTTTCATATTCCTTAACTAGAAATCCTCAATCATGAAGGTTAACCACGCCTTATCATGATTTCTGAGAATAAGTAGCTAGGGAATATCAAGAAGAATCGAATAAGAGAGATACCCGAATTTGATTTCATCAATAGATAGATTAAGAATCATAAGGAAAGGTAATTCTAATCTCCTCATAAATTTTGGCTTCCTTCTATATTTCCGCTTTTTTGTTTAATTATTTTTGAACTATTATAAGATACATTTAAATATTTACCCATGCATAGGAGACTACTGGATTTTATTTTTTCCTTTTATTCTGTTTGTTTACGTTAAGAATGTTGTTTTTTCATGACGATTTATTTCATTGAATATGTGAGTTATGTTTATATGTTTTACAACATGCCATTAGGATATTTGGACTCATAGAGATTATTGTTGATCTTATTTTCTTGAATGATATCTTTTATATGAATTGTTCCAAATACTAAAAGCTCAGCTGGTTATGTCCTTATGCACTATTTATTATAATTGAGAAAATCGATAACTGCTACTACATTTTAACGACTGGATTAATGCACACATAGTATAACTAAGAAATAAATTGATATCTAGCTACTGCTTAACTTAAGGTCGAAAGTTCGTATTCTCATATTTCATTCCGATGTACTACAAAAAAAAAAAAAAAATCCTTCGTTGAACCACCGGCATCCATTCAACCATTCTGGAGGCTTCATTAAGGTTTTAAGCCTACATCTAGCTCTGTTTAATTTTTTTTATTTTGAGAATTATAAATGAATAATTAAATAAAGGTCGTCCACCAGTTACATAAGAATCATGAGCATCACAAGAACCATACTTAACTATTAATTAATAGGGTAGAGGCATAAAGTTTCTAAGTGGTTATAGGTAAGGATTTGATCATRCGTATAGACTGAAACCTGTACGGGGCAGAGGCACATGTTGCCAATTTGATCAAGGCTAGTGGAAACATGATATGGGGTAGCGTATTAATTTGATCATCTAGCACCGACACTAGCACATATCTGAAAGAGATCGAAAATAAGTTGTTTCAAAATTGATTATCGAGTAGCAACATCCCCAACCTTCCACAACCACACCATGGAGGTGGCCTGGTTTGTTTGAATTGGGCTTGAGCCTGGATGATGAAAATTATCGTGTCTAGAGCAAGTCTTTGTCGACAATATTTTCATTGTATGGAATGTGATCTATCTTTTAACTCTCTAAATATGAAGACACTRTGATGGAGAGTGAAAACATAGAAAGGAGGGAAAGAGGTTGCCTATTAATTACATATTTTTGTATATTTATTCCAAGAAAATTTACTGCAACTAAAAATCAATAAAAAGAAAAAAACAGAAATGAGAAATTAAAATATCGAAAAAATTTAAGGTCTATAGAGACATTTCTTTTATGCGGTGGAAGTATATTATAAGATCAATTTTAGCACATTGAGATTTTTCGAAAGAGTTTGTCAATAAAAGTTCTTTCAAGTTCTCTAGCGAATCTCATGCTCAAAGTTATGACAGTTTCGTTTCAATATTCGTATCAATAATGAAAGACAATTTATGTTGATAGCTATTGATTTGATTTAAAAACTTGTAATTTACTTAAAAACCATGCTCGCTCATCAAAATAAAATCAATTTGGCTCACAAATATTGATAGAATAACTTCTTAAACTCATCCATATGCTTGGTCTGCAGGCATATGACCACGGCGAGAGATCCATCATCTGGACCCGTCATGATTATCGACCACCCATCATCGACTACCAACGGAATCGGACCGACGTACGATGGTCTTCCCCATCCAAAATCGGCATCGTAAAGTGGCATCAAGGTCCAGCACCCCAAGTCCAGGTTTGGGTTGCCCCAGAAAGGAGTTGCTTTAGTTCGATACCACTCTTTTATCCACTCAATTTCTCTACTCGCCAGAAAGCTAATCGCCGACTTGATGTATTCGTCTGTAAGTTTCCATGTTCCTTCTCTTATTTTCCCTGCAGCATAACTGAGCGGATTCTTTATAAGATCCCCAAACTTGCATATTGGTGTCACAGTCAACAAAGTTGCATTTCCACAGAATCCTTCAGGGGGAGGTGGCCTTATCCGCTGCCTTATACTGGCCGTGATAAGGGCCGCTGTCGGTTGGTCGCTTTCACATGTTGTTGTACTGTTGCGAGCCTTGCAAGCACACGCCCATATATGCCCTCCCACGGCCTCAAATCTTGTGTATGGTCTATTAAAATATAGATAAAAGATCAAATTTATCGTAAACCACTAGTTTTATCTTTTTAGTTTAATGATAGGTAGTTTCATGTGGTAGCAGAACGTAAGGTTATGTATGTGTTTGAATCCTTGCAAAGTCATTTTCTCTCAAACTACTCCATGGAGGCATTTAAGATACGGATGAAAGATTAAATTTACTATAACTCATCAATCTAATCTTTTGGATTCAGTGGTATAGTAGATAATTCTATATTTGAACTCCTACAAAATCATTTCCTCCCCCAATTAATATTCATAACTACGTATCGAGAAGTATCAATAAAAGATTAAATTGACTGTAATCCATAAATTTAATCTTTTGGTCGTTTGGTGGTAGTGCAAGAGGTTCTGTTTTTAACTCCTGTAAGGTCATTTTTCCACCCCAAATTTAATATTGAATAATCACATAGGTAGGCCTTTAAAGTATGGATAAAAGATTGAGTTTACCGTAACATTGAACTTCCTTCATTTGCTATCTTTTTCAGTTTCTCATGTTGGTGTTTTGTGAGTTTTAGCAATGCGACGGTGGTTTGTTTGTTCCGCTCCTCCTCGACGCATGAATGACCGATCAGAAGTGGAGGTGATTCGTACTCTTGATGATGGAAGTGCAGTGGGTCGAGTACTGGTCGTAGAAAGTCTCTCTCGTGATTTGGCCACTTAGGGATAATACTCTCTACCGTCTTCTCTCCTCGTGCGATGCTCGCCCACGAGTTGATAAACGTAATGACCGAAATCCCATCGACCACAAAGTGAGAAACAGCAATGCCGATCACAACCCCACCGCAGCTGAATCTCGTCACTTGCACAAGAACCAACGGTTGGTCCTCGATGGGAGCGCGATAATCAGGTTTTGGAACGAGTTGTCTCGTCGCATCGGAGGGTTCAAAGTCACCGTAATCATCAAACTTTGCATCAGCGGAAGCTTCAGCCTCGGAGAGTTGAACTCCGGCACCACAACAATCTATCTCGAGACGACCGCCATCAATCCATCGGAGACGGCCAGCTAGAGGATAATATGGAACCAATATCTGGCTCAACGAGTTTCTCATGGAATCAATGGTGAGTGAAGAAGCATCAATATCAAAGGCTTTTTTGTACACATAAATGATGAAAATATAACCCTCCAACATTGCTTGGTCGCTCTCTGATAATGTAAGTGTGCGATGGGGAGTAGGGTGGCTAGGGATGATTGTAGATGAAGAATGAAGGGTTACACTCGGCGAAGCCATTGCCATTTTGCTTTGCTCTGCTCTACCAAGTCACATAAACACCTTATATACAAACAAGAATGATTGTTTATGTGCTAATTTAGTAAGAGCTCTTGCTAACAACTACTAAGATATTTTGTTCTTCCTTTGATATTGTAGGTTCTTACTCTCACTCTAACATATTTATTTGATAGTCAATAGGAGAATTTATACCTTTTTTTTCCCTGGAGTACATCGAGTATGTTGGAGTGATGTACTTCAGGGAAAAAAAAAAGGGTAGAAATTCTCTTATTGACTTATATTGCATTTAATTGATAACTTGCTATATGAATTCCAAACATCCCCATTATCGGGATGTAAATGTGTTGAGTTACTTATCCCTTGGTCTATTAGTGAACTATAATTGAAATAGTGCATTCCTCGAAAAGTTAAGGATTTAACTTTTTCGAAATCGAGAATGGATTCGGTTAACTACATATGCGTGAGGAAGGAGAAAAGGAAAGAAGGTGAGTTTTTTCTTTTTTCACTCAGAGCTTAGGAACTATGTGAGATGAAAGACTCATGCACTGTTTTGAATGAGAGAAAGAAGTGAGGAATCCTCTTTGGACTCTAACTCTCCCACTCCTTACTTTTCTTTTTGTTAGTTCAAAAGTAGCTGTTTCAGCTTTAGTTACTCGAATTTTCGATATTTCAGGTAAAAAATGTTCCATTAAAAATACTTTTGTTATTGTTTTAATTTGACCCATACTTCCCAAAAAGTGGAGCGTCTCTGAAAATATGCCACGAAATTTCAATAGTAACTCTTAGTAGCTGATGTTTATGTAACTACGTAAATATTTTTCTTAAATACATAATCAAGAATAGAAAAACTACATCCTATCAAATTACTCAATATAAGAAAAGACATCTCTCTAAAAGTATAAATATGTGGCGAGAGGTGTGTTGGCAATATTGTTTTGGACAAAAGCTTGGAGAGAGGGAGAGAAAGGAGAAAGAGACAGATCTTTTTTTCTTTTCATGATATCATAAAAATATTGATAAGAAAAGAAAAAATATACAAAATATCAACCATATCAAAACAAAATGTGAATTATTTGTTATTAAGTTAAATATATTTTTAAGTTTCAAAAATTAAAAAATATATATTCGATCAACTTTGCCACGTGTGAATATTAGAGGTTTATTCACACCTCAAAAATTCGAACTTTATTTTGGTCCACACGATGGCGATGATAATAACAATAACAATGACAAGTTAAAAGACAATGATAATAAAGTTGATAATAACTTTAATTTGGTAATCGTATTGGCAACAAGTAACATGCTTTATTTGGGTTCAATTCCTTTCTTTTTCTACCCGAACTATCCCTATTTGTTTGTTTGAACAAGACTAAAAAGAATGCCCGCCAGATAAGGAAATGACCTTTGTGGAGATATAATCCTCTGTGATGATACACTAAGGTTAAGAAGGAAAATTAAGAGACTAGAAGAAGACAATGGAAATAAGAACATATTTTGTTAAAGAATATGCGGCCTAGTTACCTTCACGAGCTATATGGACATGCAAGAAGAAGAAGGAGATTGAATGAAAAGTTAGAGTTGTTGGGTTCCTAACTGAGATGCAAACAAAGTCCATTGGTATAAGGTTTTTTGGGTGAAAATCAAAGGCAAAGTCGTGATGGTCATGTTGAAAACGGACAATATCATACCATTGTGGAGATACTCGGATACTAAGATGTCGTTGTGAACTTTCAATTAAATCAATTGCCTGCTAAACTTACAAATTTGAATAACTACAAAGACCTACTAACCCCATTTTTTCATTATTGGTTTTTATGCTTTCTAGGACCTATTTCGTCATGTGATTATTCTTCCACCCCGAAATAATTAATAATGTACCAATCTTCTTCCATTTTTCCATTATCTCTCTCTGATCTCGTTCTAAAAATTTCGTGGTCTACTTTTCTTGTATACGTAAGTGAATCTCACTAAAATTTTGAGTCAGTAAAAATATATCACATCATTAAAAAGTCAGTAAAAGTTTCTACTGTCCATCTCTCTTCGTGACTATTGTTTCTCGTTTCAAAAATTGAGTCGAGATTGTTCCTGTTTCTTGTTTGAATTTCTTCATTTTTAATAAAGAAAGATAGAATTTTATAGCCCAACACCTATGAATTCAAAGATGATCAATTAATATTTATATTTATGTATTGTAACAAATTGGAAACAGAAACAAGAAACATTTTTACTTGTTTGGATAGTTTCCAAAATTTCTATACAAGAATGTTTCAAAAAAAAAAAAAAGAAACAAGAAACATATTTAATTGCAAAATGCTTAAGTTTCTTAATAAAATTTGGAAACGCGAAAAAGAAACGGAAATGTTACCAAACGAGTCCTAAAAAAGAGAGACGAGAGAGAGATGGGCGTTCCTGATGAGATTTGTTTCCCAAAGTCTTTGTTTTTCTTTTAAGTTTTTAATCATTTTAAATGGTTTAGTATTTTCTTTAAAAAGTTTCTCTCTTTTTCTTTCTTCTTGAGTTTGTAGATTTTTCGGTTACCTTCTTCTTTTTCGTCATTCGAAAAGTTTGTTAATGTTAATTATTGAGTGGAAAAGATCATGATCTCGGACCAGGCTTCATCCGTTCCTCGCACGATAGCCTTTCTTTAGAGAATTTTGGATATATAGTAGCATATACTCTCATGATGAATATTGTATTGGTATGGTGTCGCTCTCTAGGGTTTAATCTCTATGTGAAGATCAATTTGTGATATTGGGGTTTGTCTATAAATGATGAATGATTTGTAATATGGGGTAGGGGTGCAAATTATTTTGAAAAATATGGTAGCTTTTGTGATAGGTCGATATGTTGGGGTTAGGATGTCGATTTTTGAACATGTAGGGATGGATTCTTTTATATATTTTTCTCTATTTTAGTAAATTACTTGTTTGTCCTTCAGGTTTGGATAATAGTTCTATTTAGTCCCGAGGTTTCAGAATTTGACATGTTTATCCTTAAGGGTTAGGGAATACTTCACTTTAGTCATTTAACTGCAACCTAAAAGAAAATTGGCGTGACATATTTTATAATAAAATAAATGACGTGATAGTTTTTATTTTATAAAATAGGTGATTGTTGCAGTTAAAAAAAGAAATCCCTCTCCTTCCCCCTTCTTTCCACCCATCCTTCTTCCCTTTCCCGTGACTCGAACCGCGCTCTGAAGCCACTTCCTACTGTACCAACGTTGTTCCTCTCCCTCTTTGGCACTCTTCCCCCATTAGCTCCACCCCATCGAAGGAGATGGGAGAGAGGGGGGATTGGATGGGGTCGATAAGGGAAGGGGGCGTCAGAATGGGGGAAGGGACATTGGAGCTGGGAGATAAGGTGGCATCGGAGTGATAGGCCTCTAGTATGAAGTATATCACTGTTTTGAATGAGAGAAAGAAGTGAGTGATCCTCTTTCGACTCTAACTCTCCCACTCCTTGCTTTTCTTTCTGTTACTTCAAAAGTAGTTGTTTCAGYTTCAGTTACTCGAATTTTCGATATTTCAGGTGAAAGATGTTTCATTAAAAATACTTTTGTCATTGTTTTAATTTTACCCGTACTTCCCAAAAAGTGGAGCGTCCCTGAAAATATGCCACGAAATTTCAATTGTAATTCTTAGTAGCTGATGTTTACGTAACTACGTAAATAGTGATAGGCCTAGTATGAAGTATACCACTAATAAACTTGATATTAGGTATGTCAATGCAATGGGTATAAGTGACCATTCCCTTTCATATTTGCACTTGGTTGGGCTTCCATTCTTTTTCATTTTGCATTTGGGGGAGCGATGGCTATATTTGCAATTAACTATTAATTTTTTTCTATAATTGCAAGAAACCTATAAAATAATAAAAATTACAATTAATAGTTAATTATTTTAATTACAAATAGTAAAAATAGTCTTTATCAACCAAAGTCAGAATACGAACTTTTATTTTACCTACAGGATCGGTTCTTTTGTTTCTTATAATAAATAAATCATTTCGATAATACGAGACTAAACGTGGTAACTAGTAACCATCTATAAAAGACACTTGCAAAGGTGTTAATACTTCATCACGAACAAACTATTCTTGAATCTAACTTAGTTTATGTACCTCACTTTTTTAAATTAGTAATCGATGACAGATTCAATATATATGATTTGTGACAACTCCAAATTTTTATTCTCAATAAAAATATAATAAAAAAATAATAAATATGTGTTGTCCTTTGTTGCAATCACGTTGAGACACGTTTAATTTGACCAATAAGGTAAGTCAAAAATAAAAAATAAAAAAACATAATCAACAAATTGGGGACCAAGGGTGAAATATGTGAAATTTAGGTTAATTGAAATTACACCTCATTTGGATATTTTGTACAGCAGAATTATTGCAGTAGGATCCTCCCTTTATGAGAATATCAAAATTTCCTTACCAGAGAAGCAACCATTAATTTTCCCAAATCGATAACAAAAGGAAAAAATATGGCTGGAAGGTTAATCATTCTTATTGATCATTACAGCTGTATTGCCTTTTCAATTGTGCTGTAATTATTTTGTTTAAATCCCTTTTAGTTCTTCCCTTATTTGTGTTCCCCAAATTCTATTTTTGTTCGTGTAAGTAGTATTTTTCTAGACTAAGGTGTATTGTTCAGATTGAATAACAAGAATTAGTACATACTGTAATTTGTATATATCAAACTGATTTGAATCTTCATTATGGTATCAGAATCGATATACTTAGACGAAAGTAGAACTAATCACTTTCTTCAAATTCTAACAATGGCCCCTTACAATATAGTTTTTTCACCAATCTGCTAGTCTGATTTCTATCAAATTAAACTCCACCAATTATCTTCTTTGGAAATCTCAGATTTTGCCTCTCATCATGGACATTGAGGGACATCTAACTGATGACACGCCACCAGAAGAATACATCGCTGATAACAAAGGAGAGAAACAATGCAATCCCGAATACTCTACTTGGAGGAGTAGTGATGAACTTTTGTCTTTGGCTCTTGGGAACCAGTGATGAAGAAATCCTTAGCATGATCGAAAATACTGATACAGCTCGACAACCGTGGATGTCTTTGGAGGAACAACTCCTCACCATGACCAAGGAGAATGAAATCAATCTCAATGAAGCATTGGTTAGCCTAAAAAAAGGTAGTCTCAATTTCAAAGAG